TGCCAGAAGGCATGCCAGAAAGAGAATGCCAGAAGATATGCCAGATAAAGTGCCAGAATGTTTGCCAGATAGAATGCCAGAAGATATGCCAGATAGAATGCCAGAAGGCATGCCAGATAGAATGTCAGAAGATATGCCAGAAGATATGCCAGATAGAGTGCCAGAAGATATGCCAGGTGCAGAAGATATGCCAAGAATGCCAGAAGATAAGATAGAATGCCAGAAGATATGCCAGATAAAATGCCAGAAGGTATGTCAGATAGAATGCCAGAAGGTATGCCAGATAGCATGTCAGATAGAATGCCAGAAAGTATGCCAGATAAAGTGCCCCAGAAGTTTGCCAGCACATATGCAGAAGGATTTGCCGATAGATGCCAGATAGAATGTCAGATAGAATGCCAGAAGGTATGCCAGATAAAGTGCCAGATGTTTGCCAGAACATATGCCAGAAGATTTGCCAGATCCCATGTCGAAGCTATGCAAAAGAAATGCCAATAGAGTGCCAGAAGATATGCATAGAAAATGCCAGGTGCCAGAAGAATGCCAGAAGATATGCCAGATAGAATGCCAGAAGATATGCCAGATAAAATGCCAGAAGATATGTCAGATAGAATGCCAGAAGATTTGCCAGTAACAAAACGTATAGATGTCATGGTGGGGATAACTCGAAGTAAAGTAATTATGGGACATGGTGAGGCCTGGTAGTTTCTGGTTCCAAATTTTGAGACCCACCATGACCACATCTCTCGAGGCACCTGGATGCTCCAAGTGCTCCTCTTCGAACAAGAGCTGATCATCGCTTCGATCCCAGGCCACAGCCAAAGCTGGGTCCTGTGAAAGCTTGAAACATCCGGGACCCCCACATTTCAAAGGTTCCAAGGAATGCATCACTGGGTCAAAAGCCATCTCTGGAAACACATTGCAACGTCGATTCCTTGTAGCGATGGAAGCGCGTCGCAATTTCTGCAACCTGATTTTTCTGGAGTCCGTCTGAGGCCTTGGGTATCTTCGCGAGACTTGTTTGCAACACTTGCACTCAAACAGCACAAGGTGAACACATCTCGGTAACTATAGTAAACCTGAAAACAACTAGGAACACTGAATTCCCGCCAAGACACAAAAGGAGAGAAGGGAAGAGCGACCACATTCAAAAGCCGTCTGTAGGCCTTGGATGAGAGGAAAAGGTGAAGGCAGTAGTGTGCTGCCAAGCTTTTCAAAGCATCTCACTCAAACACACCGACGTGAGGGGTTACTATCCAACTCTCCCCGTATTTGTTGGAAGCCCAACCGTCCTGTCGGAATCGATAAAAAGGATCAAATCCTTTGAATTCCTCCTATTTTTGCGGACCTTTTCAAAATGATTCGCCAAGGAGCCTGTGCAGACACTGTTGATTGCCTCAACGTGGTCATGGGCTTTGGGGCCTTCATGGCTGACATCTTGTGTGAAGATCCTGATGATTCTGGGGAGAATCCAACCAAAATAACCAAATAATTTTGAAATAATATAATTTTTCGCCATCAAGTCTCTCATCTCCGAAGAGGGCGAGATTGTCCGAGTCCTGCACCCGATCGCCATTGATCTCCCGCAGTCATGGGAGTCATGTGGGAGTCATGGGGGCAGAGCGAAACTCCTTCCCTTGGACTCGGGCAATCTCTGGTATGTACGGTATGTATGACATGTTAAAAATGCCTATCCCTTTGGTGGAGGGGTGCCATGCTCCCCAACACAAGATTGGCTGCGCAGATGTTTGCACGACCATACATGCCGGTTGCCTAGCTTGACAAACTGTGGATGGCACCATTGAAACTTACAATAACTTACAGATTCAGCCACAGAAAGTGTTTCTGGACTGCAAAGCTACTGCAAGTAAACGTGCAGGAACCCTTCTGATTTTGATGGCCACAATACAACAGTACCTAGTTTGAATACTACAGGCCTCTGTCACACCACACCTCATTCTTCAGAATACAAACCAATCTCAACAAATCAACCTCTCACAACCAGCATGTTTTTCCTTTCAGGTCAGCACTTTCCAGGGGGTTCACCATAAACCAGCCACCAAGGCATACCAAGGCATACCTTAAGGCACCTCCTTGTCATAGACGTCCACGCTGGGGAAGTCAAACTGTGCATCTGCGATGACGGTCACCACTTCCAGGGCTCGCCGGCCGCTCAGATCAAAGGCCGCCGTCAGCATCCGCGCGAAGCCGGCGTCGCGAAACATGCCGCGAAAGAGCAGCACCACCTCATGCCGTGGGGTTCCCCAGGAAATGATCCACAAATGGAATTTTCCATATCTGGATTGGTCTACTGAGTCTACTGGATGTATATACATATGATGATACTTGATGATATATGTATGTGTGTTTTTGCATACAGTATAGTATGTATCTGTAAATGTATACATACGCGTACACTATTGAATGGTATTGTGTGGTATGGTATGGTATGGTATGGTATGGTATTGGTATGGTATGGTATGGTATTGTGTGGTATGGCATCTTATGGTATGCTATTGTCTGGTAGTGCAAATTCTACACATGTGTGGTTCTTGGGGGCACATCATACATATATATATATATACATATATATATATATACATATATATATATATATACATATATATATACATATATATATATACGATATAACTGTATCTATACAAGTATACATAACATACAGTCGCTACACTGCTACAGTATTTCTCACTCTTGAAGGCACCGCCCAGGCACTAAATAGTAGGCCCAGGGTTTCCAGCTCACCATCTGTCGGCTCCCCTGAACCACCACACATTCCACTTGCAGATGTGCCTGCGAGATGATCGGGATGGGAAATGGATCAAGGCAGTGGAGTACCTTGATCCTCGAACTTGAAAATTACCCTTGAGAATATCTGATGTGGCCTTGCAACTTGTGGTTGCCGAGTGCTGTGTGCCTGGAGCATTAGCTGGAAGACTTCACAGGTGGACAAGGATTCCGCATCTGCCACCGAGCTGGTGATCAAAATGCGGCCCTTGCTTTGCCCTGCAGTGTCCGTGAAGGACGTGTTTAGACCTGCCAAGGTGAAGGGAAGAGTTTACCCCTGATCAAATTTCAACAGGTTGCGTAGTTGCGTATGATCCGTTCCTTGGAACTTAGAATTTCAAAACGAATCAACCTCCAGCAACTGCTAAGTACCACTGCTGATTGCACCTGTCAGGAGAATCTGAGGTGCATTGGAGAAGCCAAAGCCCGAGACCTAGGTTCCGAACGGTGAGTGTTTACAAGTTTACATAGAATTCCCGCCAATCTTGAATTTTCAGTGGCATCCGGTTTGTTTGGAGGACTATCCCCAGAAAACCATTCTGCACTGATTCACCATCATGCCACAACAGTTTTCGGAAAGTCTGCATCAAGAAATAGCTCAGGATGTGAATAATTCTGAATGATAAAGGACTCCAGCATACTCCAGCAGCAAAGGATCACCATATGGAATTCATGACAGCACTGTCACTAGACATGCTCTGGCCAGGCCACTCGTCTCGGAGCGCAGCGAGAGAGGATATCCACTGCAACCTTCTCCCGGGTGCTGACCTTATGATTTCATGATGACCCAGGACCCCATCTCCGCACCTTCTGCACCATCCCTGTCCCCAACTGAGACTTACTGAGACCAGGACATGTCCAAATCTGGGCATTTTCATAGGCTTCAAATGTGGCCCTTGGAGCCAGGTGTAGGCTTTGGTCACCTTCGGGCGAGCGGGGCTTCCAGGAAGGTTCTGAGACTGCACCTCCTTTGGGGGAGCAGTGATCCAGGACAGGACCAACTGAAGACTGACAGATATTGCAGTATTGAGGTATTACCTTCTTTGTAATTATGTGGAATAGGATGTGTGAATAGATGTGAATACTGTATCCCTCTGGCTGGGTCAAACCGGCTGTCGCAAGTCATAGGATTGAGCAACGAAGCAAGAGCAAGCACAAATTTGGGAGAATAATCGGCACTGGACGCACCATGCAATGCTTTTGATGGTGATTCGTGAACCGTCCCATCCGGATGAATTCTGATGGATCAAAGAGTCATATGAAGACTCCTCTGAAATCCCTGTTTCCAAGGTGACCAAGGGCAAGCTGCAGGCAAGGTCACGTCCTCTATGCTAATCCCATAGTTGGCCAACATCTGGATTTGCTGCGACGACCAGAGTGTTGAGATCGTGCGCAAAGCTTCCACTGTCAAAGGCCGAAAGCCATCACACACCAAAGGCATGGTGTCGATACCATTCTTGTGTGCCTGAAGTTGCGCTGGTATGACAGGATTGACTTCAGTCATGGTGCGAACCAAGAGTGCAAAACATATTAACATGCAAAATGAAAAACTTGTTAAACGAAGTGAAAGTGGACAGTCGCAATTTCTCCAGCGCACCAAACCCTCTTCAAGAGTTCTGGCGTTAGAACGACCACAACGTTTCTTGTGGATGTGCGAACCACGTCAAAGAGAAAGTCCAGATTTTCTAGTTGGTCACAGTCCAAGAAGACTCGAACAGTGCTACTGTGTCTCGCCATCAGCAGCCTCATTTGAGTGTCGCAAATGTCAGCATCATGCCCACTTAAGGACAATTCATGCCGTGTATCAGGCCAGGCTCAGGCTACCGAGTCTATTGCATGAAATCACTCATTACTCTTCAAACCACACATTGGTTTGCTACACTCCTCTTGTTGGGGTCTCTGGGAAGTGTGGCCAGAGACCTGAATGAAACTGCAGGGGTTCACAATCAGCCCAGGCATCCGTCAGGGAGATTTCAATTGACATCTTTAGGGTTGGGACATGGGGACATGGAGACCACTGGGCAAGGGATCAAATCTGAAGAATTTGGAAGCTCTCCAACAAGAAGTCCCTGAGCCAAATGCTTCCCTCAACTGCAAACATGAGCTGCAACGCTTCCACAAACCCGGCCAGGCCAAACCTGAAGCTTCTAGCAATTTCTTGGGCACGGTGAAGCTTTAGACAAGGCACTTTAAAAGTCTACAGAGAGATCCAGCACCGGCTTTGTGATGACAAAGAAAAATATCAAATCGTTGGATGCCCTGGAAATGAAGCCACACCGGCCTCTCGCAGGTCCAGGTTGAGGCTCCATGTTAGAGGATGGGTGGGATCTAAAAGAAATGTGTCTTCGGACCCAATCACAGCCACTGCACTGATCCCTTCCAGCCCTGCCTCAACATTGCCACCAAACCTGTGAGGATCAGGCTGAGAATTGGAATGCAAAGGAGCCAACCCAAGATGTTGGAAGACACCTTGATATCCAGCTCCAACAAAGGCGAAGCACCCAAGAGCGTCCTCAGGTCTAAAACAAAATAGCTCCAGGGTCCAAGGATAAACCAAGCACAAGAAGCATTAAGAAGGCCACCATCTTGGAAGATCTTGAAAGTCACAGCCAGAAACCGCGAATCTTCCAATTTTGTCTTTTCAAACTTTTTTGAACTATTGAATATGGCGGCCAGGTCTCACCATCAGAAACGCAGTCAGGAGAAGCTCCACGACATTCGCAAATTTGGTGCGCCAAGGAGAAGTACGGGCTTGAACAATCACAGAAATCAATAGAAGACCTGGGGACATCTCTGGAAGATCAGTGATGCCAAAGCCCCAAAGCAAACTGGATGTGTCATTAAAGATATCTAAAAATGCCCCTTTCAGCAGGGGACTGCTTTGCAAACACAAAGAGCACTCGACATTCTTGAAAAATATCATTGCCAAACAAGATCCAAAAAGTGGGAAAATCTGCAGTCAAGGTCAGAATTAGGCAAGGCTTCATGACAAGGGACTGCCCATCACAGGAATCTGAAGCTCAGGAAGACGGCTCAAAGCCACAGGCAGGATAGCAATCATGGCATTTCGATACAAAAGAACTGAGCCATAGTAGTAACCTCGGGATGGGTCCCCAATTCTGTTTCAAAGCAGTGGAGAGGGGCTCTCAAGTTCCCAAGGGCTTTGCGGAAGATAGGGACACACCAATAGGTTCATTGGGTCAGCTTTCGGTGGTCAAACACTCAAACCAATTCAAGAGCCATGTCCTCCATATCAACATTGTGCAGCTGGGTCTGAACCGAGTGACACTCAGGCTTAAAACGATGAAATAGAAATCTATATCTATGCACCAAACGAAGACCTCTCCCAGTGGAGACTCCTAGGCGGCGGCAGGAGACTTGGCTAGAAATGCACGAGAAAATCGACACATGCATCCCTATATGATAATGTATATGTTTTGAATGCATATACATATATATAGATATTATTTATATATGGTCTATATATATATATACAATCCCCTTGTGAATTCGGTCGGTTTCCGGTGACTACCATTTTATAATGCTAAAATGGTAAGCACAACCCCTGTCAGCACATGGCGCTCTATAGAATGGGATCCATGAGGTAAAAAAATCACATTTTTTTCTATATAATGGTCTTCCGAACCACCTTCAACTGTCTCACTAACTAACAGATTAAGCCTAAAGAATGGTAACCATGACCAAATCACTTGAGGGGTGTTTTTGCCACATACCCACTATAGAGTGACTTCCATGACCCAGATCCACCTAGTCCCTGGCAACTGTGACCCATACCGGGTGCCTTCTTCAATTCTTTGGCATGGTCGGGGGTGCCATTTTATAGTGGCCCCAGGGTCTTTGGAATTGTTTTGTTTTAGGGGTTAGGGTACCATTTCATAGGCGTGGTTTTTGGCATGGTTTTGCATTAGTCTGGTACAGTTTTATCCATTAAGATATGCAATCTCTTCCATCTAATAATCCTATAATCAAAGACACTACCCACATAATTACCATCACATATCATAATTTAGTTCTTTTTCGTAGGGGCTACATATATTTTGGACTATTTGGGTCCGTTTAAGGGGTGTGTAATAGCGGATGAGATTCATTTCAGCCTAAACTGCATCACTGCATACCGCCACCACTATTGTCTCGGCGGCTTCCCATCACCGTTTTGACGTGCTTACTGCATCCTGCTGTATCCGTATCCTACTACAGCGTTCTGACAAGGACGTTCCCAACAGGATCCTGAGTAGTGCCATTCTATAGAGGGCCACCCTTGTTTCCCACCTGAATAATACCATTCGCACCATCTGGTGTACCCAAATTCACAGTGGTCCGGGCAGTCGTAGTGTGGATGTGGGTCTGCACGAACTCGCAGCATTGTGCTTCACAAACAAAGGATTTGGGTTTTTGTATGTCTTGGATAGCGTCCGCGTGTCTGGCTTGAAGATACGGCCAGCATGGGTGAGCAAGGAAGAATTCAACTCTATAGAATGGTCATGCTCAACCCTAAAACTGTTACATGTTACTAAAACCAAGATCTCTATAGAATGGCATCTTACTAAACCAACATCTCTATAGAATGGCACTCCTGCCTGATTCAAGCAATCAAATGAGGCGTCTATAGAATGGTGGTGCATGACCCTATGAACACACATATCACCAAAAATCTATGTTTAAAATGGTAGCTGTTTTGGAGGGTTAACCCTAGCCATTCTGTAGAGGAAATTCAAGGGGTTTTATATACATATACATATATATATAATTTAATAGATTTTAATAGGGATCGAAATCATGGCCAAGGGCACACCCAACAAGCAATCTTAGCAATGCTGCACAGAGCCAGGATTTATGGTTCAAACTCACCAAGGATCGCAGTGGATACATCACTGTGGTATAAGTTGTCCAGCAAAGAATCGCTACCGGTTGACTCAGAATGCCAAAGCTGGCCTGAGAGCGGAGTGGCTTGACGTGACACTGAATCCTGACGGATCTTCATGGATCTTGATGGATCTTGATGGATCTTGATGGATCTTGATGGATCTTGATGGATCTTTGGTTGCTTCAAGCCGATACGCACGGCGTGAACTGTTCATGTCTGCTGCTTGCTGATTCCTCTTTAATGGATGCTATTGAGCCACATGAAACAGCCCTTGCAAAAGGCATTCACCAGTTGGTCACTAAACTATTTGTAAGAGGGTTGAATTTTCATAAATGGTCCGTTCATGAAGCCACATCGAGCATTCAGCTGAGGCGCTAAAATCACCAGAATTGAATGCTCCTCCGAATCAAAACAAATAATACCTGGCTCCGATACCTCATTGATGCAGAAGGTCACTGGCACGAAAACAATTGGACCAACACCGGCACCGGCCAAATCAAAACATACACAGACTTGGAGGATCACGGATATCCATCACTATCCATCCAGGGAAAGCAGACGGATCAAATGTGGTTGAAACCTCTCAAGAACACGAGCCTCTTCTCTGAATCCCTATTGCATCCTGGATCAGTATCATCACATCATGACAACCTGTTGCCAGTATGTATCGATACGGTGTGGCACGTCAATTTTTGGAAACTTGAGATTCAGAGTATGTATGTAAAAACTATATAACTGATTATGATTATTGTCATTATTATGACTATTATTATTATCACTATTGCTATTATTAAAATTGTTATTATTGTAATACACTGCAAGTGACCGGCAGATAGAATTTAATCTAAAGGAATCCATGGATATGGATTAACCTCCAGATAATATCATCTATAACAATTTCAAAGACTGAAACCATGCAGTCAGAATTCCGGAACTATGAAAAAACAGTAATAGTTAGAATATAAATGCACAATATACATATGTATATATACAATGTATGTACTGTAATGTATGTAATCAATGAAGTATGGGTCATAACCTGATACATTTACTTGAACATCAATACCACTGGTTTGCACTGTGGTTGGGAGAATGCTATGTAGTTTGAATATGGAAACTAACCATAAGAAGAACCCATCAATCTCAATGTTTTGCAGATAAAGAACTAAAATATTAACAAATACGATAAACAACCGATATATAAATATAACAATAAACACCATATTCTAACTAGAATGTTTTTCATAAACTTTTCGGATTCTTTATCTATTGAAAAATAAGCTTCGGTGGTATCCCCAACAGCCGCAACGTTCTATATTTACATATCTTTCTGAAGCGTGCTGCGAATCCAAGCGCTGGAAACACCTCAGCGTGCTCCAAAATTATGAGGCCTTCTCCGGAACCTTCTCCGGAACCCTGTTGAACCTGACCTGGCTCTGCACCAAAGCCTCCCGGAACCTTCTCCGGAACCTTCTACGGAACCCGTTGAACTTGACTTGGCTTTGCACCAAGGCTTCCTGGAACCTTCTCCGGAACTTTCTCCAGAACCCTGTTGAACCTGACCTGGCTCTGCACCAAAGCCTCCCAGACCTTCTCTGCAACCTTCTCCGGAACCTTCTCCAGAACCTTCTCCAGAACCTTCTCCGGAACCTTCTCCAGAACCTTCTCCGGAACCCTGTTGAACCTGACCTGGCTCTGCACCAAAGCCTCCCAGACCTTCTCCGGAACCTTCGGAACTTTCTTCGGAACCTCGTTGAACCTGACCCGGCGCCTGCACCAGTGCACACCGGAGCTATTCTGGGCTGACGACCCCATTAGCTTACGCTGTTGGGGAAAAAAAACATTGTAACTGCCAGGGACTTACACTATACATACATGTATGTGTATGTTCTATACTATGTGTATATATATATATATATTTTTTTTTGTATATATACATACAATACATATACATACATATACCGTATACCAAATCATCGCATTGTGGTAGTATCCTTGAGCATCCCAGTATGATTTATCGGATTTATCCGCGGTATCCCCAAGACTTCACCAAGTTGCCATGGACCTGCTTCCATTCGGATTCTGCTGGCATTGAAACGGGATCATCGTGCTGAGGGTAATGGATAAAAAGAGTGCAAAAAACAGCAGTCCGCAGAGATTGATGACTCCGTCCAGGACATTTTAGAGCGTCGATCAATTTGTTGGATCAGCCAGCCAAGACAAATGAGGCAACATCCGACTGGACATATCCTTAGATCTGATCGCCCTCAGGATCTAGACATGCACCCACCTTCTCCACATTGCAGCAATCACGGATCACATGAGAATCCCATCCTTCAGTCAGATATGCCCAACCCAACCACTTCAAACAATCAAAGGAAAGGTTGAGATTTCCCGGAAGGTCACTGAAACAATCTGATTCTGCCTGACTACATCAGGGAAAAGCAGGTCTGAAAACTGGATTTTGAAATACGATCGAGGGCTGGATGAAGCACACCCCATCATTCATATTTTTGCTAGGATTTAAGAATGTACTGGTACCAAGTGGTACCAACCTACTTCACAATTTCACAACATGACAGTGTTGGTGACAGGCTGGGCCCCCAGGGATGTTCCACCTTGTCAAGGTCCCAGGGGTCCCAAGTCCACCCATGTTGCTCAACAAGGATCAGTATTTGGCTCGTGAACTTCAAGATAGGACTGTCATTCCCATAAACGCACCCAACTTTGATGATGTCGAGGTTGAAGGTCAAAAGCCTGCAGCGAGCAAGAATTCCAATCCAAGAGGATTTCCCTGGAAGAAAAAGTGATGTGGTAATATGGAGGTGTCCGAAAATGGGGGTACCCCCAAATCATCCAAAATTACACCATTTTAGTATAGGTTAAGCGTTGTTAACCCATGGTTTTGAGAATTTTGAATTCTAATAAACCCCCATATGTGGTATGCTATCCACCCCTCGCAAGCCCGCCTGGTCAAGTCAATGAGGCTCTTCACTGGGACTGGCCATTCAATCGAAAGCTGGCCTCACTCAGACACCAGCAAATCCCTACACAGGATCGTGCCACTGCATTGTCTGCGGAAACCGAACATGGTTTCATTGGAAATTTCCCAAGGACTCAGCCCCCTAGTACGGGTTTACCAACCAATTACCAAGTACTTCTACCCTTCTGTAAATTTCACATCCAAGGCGCGAATTGAGCCTAAGGCTTGCACGCTCATTATGATTTGACTCGTCACTGCCGCTGCAGTCAACAGATTCAAACCTTGGGCGAATTTGTGGCTGGACTTGGATCATCTTATGGGCGTGTTAGCTTAGCGCCAAATGGTTCAACCAAAATTTGTCCTGATGGAGCTGCACCAAATGGCACGAGTGTATTCCGCCAAGGAGCTTTGTTGGTTCGGATCCATGTTGAAGCAACTAAGGAGGATTATCGCCATGGGAATCAGAATAAAGATGGCGATTGCTGGTAGCAAGTCAGCTTCTTGGCATTTTTGGCAAGTGCCATTCTCAAGGGGGAAATAGCCCTCTTTGCAGTTGTTGCATGCCTTTCCTTCCCGGCCTTCTGCACAAACACCCAAGGCCCCTTGAGGGCATTGGTTATCATTGCGACAGCTAAGCACTGCAAAGTCACACGCGGTTCCCTGCATGGGATATGTCCAGCGACCTGCCTCTTGCATGGGTGTGCCTAGCCCCCCTGGGCAATGCAAACCACTGGGACATGCTTTGCAGCCACGTGCGCCAACTGTCCCCAGCTCTGGAGCACAGAAGAAGAGACCTTCATCACAGCGGCACTGCGACTCGGATGTGGCACCAGGTGCTTCTGTGATTCGATTCAAGCCACATTCCAAGCAGTTGGTCCCACCAGAGAAAGGCATGTAGTTTCCTCTGCTACATGGACTACACGACTCCAGGCCTGTATCATTGGCGACAAAACCCGAAGTGCATAGGCTACATGCTACAGAGCCCACATCTGCTGCAAAAGAACCTTCCGGGCACAAAGTGCAGTTCACGCTGCCAGTAGCATTGGAGAAAGACCCTCTGGGACAATTTCTGAAGGAATCTTCTCCTGCAGGCTATCAGGATTGTCCAACATCACCCAGCCGTTTCTAAGCTTTCAAACCTTTGGAAAAAAATACGCCAGCATAGACCCCGATAGCAAAAAATATTTGTGGGCAGCACTTGAGCGGCACCAGCACCCAATAGCGCTGACCGCAACACCCTGCAGCAGAACCCTGCAGTGGCACCCTCCAGCGCCAAGCTCCGAAGACTTTGACAGCTGCACCCTGAAAGCAGCACCCTGCAGAGCAACCAAGCTCCAAAGCGCAAACAGCAGTGACAGCAGCACCTAAGTTCGGCACCCTGCAGCGGCACCGTGAAGCTCCAAAATCCAAACAGCGCTCCAAACACCTCGTAGCGACCCTGCAGCGGCACCAGCAAACAAGATCCAAAGCAGCTCCCTGACAGCAGCACCTTGCAGCATGCACCTTGTAGCGGCACCAGCAGCCAAGCTCCAAAGCGCAAACAGCACTCTGACGGCAGCACCTTGCAGCGTAACGGCACTCTGCAGCGGCACCTGGCAACCAAGCTCCAAAAGGCAAACTTGCAACTCTTCTTATACTTGAAGTAAGAACCCCAATAGCTTCGCTATCTGGTGAAAAAAATCACATGCCGTTTTCTTCTTGCCCTGGCTCCTCCGGCGCATCGGGTGCCTTTGGGGCAGGGTTTGCAGGGGCTGAATTTTTCCTCCTTGTAGAAGCCCGGGTCACAGGACACCAGATGTCGGGGTAGGAAGTTTCCAACGCTGCCGTCCATCCAAGTCAGGTTGTCCAAGAAGGTGAATTGCTTTGTCGACACGCTGAAGATGGCCACAGTCTTCGGGTCCTCTGCCCCACTGACCACATTCAAGATTTCATAGGAGGCCTAACAGGCATCGATGAGGGAACAGTCACCGGCAAAATTCTAGCTGCAAGATCTGTCAACACACCTTCGAAAGTCGCCAAACCATGCCAAACCTGTCATGAGCCGGCTTCAAGTCGTGGAACACTTGCCACCAAGATACGGCACGATCTCCATTCTCGTCAAAACTCACTTCTCCTGATACCCACCCAGTCTAGAGTAGCGGCGTTGTGCATTTACGCAGGTCTCTTTGGGAAGTTCATGTCATGAGGAAACACGGACCCTTCCAGTCTTCCAGTCCCTTCTCACAGGTGGCAGTCCTGACACTCCAAAGAATTGAGTTCGTCGCAACTCCTCGAGGAGAACTTCGCCGTAGATCTCAGATTCCTGGGACTCTGCACGCTTTATCGCTTTGTGCGCTTCACGCGTTTCACGCGTTTCACGGGTAGGAAAATGCAAGAATTTACACCCCCGAGTCACTTGGACAGTCCCTTTATCATACCTGCGAGTTCCTTTACATCCCGATACATGTTCAGTATTATGGGATGTTTCTGACTTCACTTCTATGAGCTACAAGCCCATGAACTTTTTTTATATCATCCAATGTCATCCAAGTGTATCTCACTGTATCACTATGCTGTGCAGGTTTCATGACCGCACAATGCAACATTATCTTGGGCAGCTTTAAGAAAACCGGTGATCTACCTGACATCCTGTGAATCAATCTATTTCTGTGATGGAAATCTCACTGATTCTCTCCGGTGCATCTGTTCAACCATACGGTACTGCACTAGCACACAAATCATAAATTGTTCAGTGTTCTCTTGTGCAACAAACTAGGTACCCCTTTTACCCAGTGTTACCCAGTGTTACCCAGTGTTGCCCAGTGTTGCCCAGTGTTACCCAGTGTTGCCCAGTAATGACCTGGTTGTCTCTTTCCCGCGTTTCAAAGAGTTGACTGCTGGGAAAATCTGCAACAACCGCTTGCAAGTCGAGCTGCATTGAGACCCTGGTGCATTAGATTGTTGGCTGCGACCAGAAAGGTATACGTGGCATCAAAAGCGAAGGAGGCGTATGGATCTGTCCTCAAACTGGCAAACTCACCCCCAAATCTCACTTGCTTGCACACATGGGCCATGGGAAAGGGACCCAAAGGGTCCGTTCAGACAAGACTTTGTCTGAGTAATGCAAATCGCATCCCGAATATCTACTTCCCCAACACTCAGCAGCCTAAGCCATGAAAATGATGCTCTTGACTTGGGACTGATCTGATTAGTTGCAGGGCGAGCTTCGTGATATGTTGCATTGACGCATTGAGATGCACCGCATCAATCAAGTTGGCTTCCAGTTTATATCGCTCTGTCGAGTTAGGACCTATCCAATCATCCAAGTCCATCTTGGACAAGAGCTCCTGAAATTTGGGATACAAAGGCCCTTTGTTCACGAAACTGATCAGAAAGCAACCTTGGGGCCGCAGTTGGCTGGGTTTGGCGGCGTCCGTTTTGTGGTGGGGTTTCCTAATGCAGGCCAAGCAGCCAGCTGGCAGTAGCTCAAGTAAGCCGATTGAAACCGAAGAGTCAGAAGCGAAATACTGCCAGTCAGGCCCCAGCATGCCCTCCTCATCCAATATAGGCAGAAATTTCTTGAGCGTGCTGGTGAAGGTATAAAGAAGAATGAATCGAGATCCAATCTGCTTGACAGTTCCTGAGCGCTTGGAGTACAAGCATTTGGAGAACAAATCCGTGTCTATTCGATCTGCCCCAGCGGTTTCCTGAAATATTCTTTGCAAATCCAAGAAAATCACTGCGTAGATCTTGAAGGGGACAAAATGGGACAAACATCCATGTTTAGATTCGCCACCCAAATCTCAACCCTTCCTGGAGTTTATTGCTCATCATTGGCCCCTCAGTCTTAGCACTCCTGGCTTCGTCACAAATCGATTGAGCGCGACATTCTTGGCCGAGAAGGCCCGGCCAAACTGGCCAAGCTGGCTCAAAAACTGGAAAGAATTGGAAAGATGTGGAGAGTTCTCCGGCAAAGCCAAGTTTCGAGCTACGAGACGGGCCTCGTCAACCACGAAGCTCTGCTGCATTTGTCGGAGAGCTTGACCTGACACAAAGAAAGTTGCGAAATTAAAAAGATGCCTGATGATGTGTAGATCTACATCTAGGTGACTATGTGTGTATACCTATTTATGCATGTACTGTGTGTATATATATATATATTTATTTATATATATATATATGTATGGCAATGGGCAGATACACACACAGTACATTGCATATATTCACAGATTGACTCTCTCTCTCTCTCTCTCACGTTCGTTTTCAAACCCACTCTAACATGTGAGACGTCGCAGATTGGCAAATAATATTTGCTTGCACGTGATGTGACACGGTGATATGTTTTAGACTTTAGACCAAGTACCCATTCATACGCAGATATAAATATCATACTTAAGGCAAAGGGGTAAGGGACAAAAGCTGGAAAGATAAAGGGAGAAGGAAGGTGTGGTGAAAGAGCGGTGTGTGAGGAATTGGGAAAGATGCAAATGATGCTGATGCTGATGGTGACCGGGGGATTGAGCCAAGCAGAGCAGGAGTAGTTCCTCGTAACTGTGAAGTTTCACTCGGCAATTCCAACCCCGAATACCTTGCTAAAGGATGCTAAATCAAGAGGACCTCAGCTGGCAGAAGCTAGCTTTCCTGAATATCTACACATCAAGCTAAACTGTAAGGAAAGGGAAAGAACCGTGCAGAACATCCATGAATATAACTAGACTACAGCTACACAGGTGTAATCCAATCAGGGCAAGTGCTCGTCACCCTGTAGCTTGGCTCGATTCCACTAAGGTATCATTCGAATGCCAAGGAGATGTGGCGTTTCGACAGTCCATTGGACCGCAGCACCTTGAATGCGTTCCGACTCGCCAGACTGCCGCGCGAGCTCCTTGGTTGCTTCATAGAGTTCCGAGCCATAGGTATCAGTAGTATACCTGGAACACGGCACGGCTCTCAACGGCTTCAGACATTTATCATCAACAATCCATTAGCACCCAAAGCCAGAGCATAGACAGTCCGGGCGCATGTTGGACCAAATGGATTCATTTTTCTTGAAATTAGAGGCCTCAAAAGGACAAGAATCTTGAGGGTGTCAAAGGTAGAGTTGAGGCCTCTACCTTGGGCCAGTTTCATAGTGGAATCTCCAAAGTGTCCTTTTTCCTTACAGAGAAACCAGGCCATTTTACAACGGCCCCAGTGCCGCTCAGCTACACACAGGTCGCAGATGGCACCTGAAATTCCAGGATCCAATGCCACAAGGCCGAGGCTTGCCCAGTGTCTGCTGGAAGAGTTCGCAGGAAATAGGGAAAGGTCTCCTGATGAAGGGAAGCGTTAAATGGTAGGAATTGTTAAGATTCGTGTCCCATTTGACCGGAACCACAACCACAACCACGAGCGGAAACGCAATGCAAACACAAACACAGCATGAACCCGAACAAAGACAACAGCATCAGCAGTTGTTGGTTCGCTCCTAAGGTTCGCAAATAGTATGGAAAACACGCATAGCCCAACATCCAACACCAACAAAGCGATGAAGCCAAGAAGCCACTAGAGCTGTGTAAAGCCGCAAAGATAGAAAGCTGACGACACCATCAAGGCCGAAAAAAGCAGGGAAGCAAACATTTGCAAAAAGAACAGTAGTGTGGAACGTCATTCTGGAGATATAACCTCTCGTTTTGCCTGGCATTTGCAACATGTGGGAGATAGAACCTTTCATATCGTATGGTATTTGCAGCATCTTGGACATGATAATGATATTTGCAACATTTTGGAAATTCAACCTTCCCAGTTTGCATGGTATATGCAGTGCTGTAGAACTCCGACCTTCCCAGCAACCTTCCATTTTGCAGAGACACCTGGTTTCAACCTTCCATTTTAGATTGTATTTGAAGCATTGTGAAATCTTAACTTGTTAACCGGTTCACTTACATCTGAAACAAAAAGGTCAACATGAAAGCACAACGCAACCAAATAGAAACAACCGAAGGGGTGGATTGGGGGAGGGGCCTCCCCCCCAACGAACTCGGAGGCAATCTAGTTCTAGTTTTGGTTCCTCTGTGCGGTTGTGGCTACTCTTGTCGCTCTGATTGCTCTTGTTACTCTTGCCAATCTTCTTGTTTTTGTTCTTGTTCTTGTTCTTGTTGCTGCTGTTGCTGTTGTTCTTGTTGTTCCTGTTGTTCTTGTTGTTCTTGTTGCTCTTGCTGTTCTTGCTGTTCTTGCTGTAGCTGTGCTTATGCTTGTCAAAGGAAATTTAGAGGCCAAACTTCCGACAACGTGGGCAGATGAAAGGCAGAGATGGGAAGAGTCTGAGAAGAGAAGAGAAGAGAAGGGAAAAGAAGAGAAGAGAAGGGAAGGGAAGGGAAGGTCAAAGAAGAGAAATTCAGAAGAAAGAAGATCCAGGTGCGCGAAAAGGTAGGAAAGTCGCGAAACACTGTGTTTTCCCAATGATTTGTGGCTCCGGAGGGTCGAAAAGTAGGCTCGCTAAAGCGGCGGGTGCGGAGCCAGCTGGCCAGATGAGAGATGAAACGTTGCACGCCGTTGTGGCGCGAAGCACATTTGGCAGTCAAAATGTACAAAACAGACCAACGTCGGAGCACTTTTGGAAGTTGAGATGTCAAAAAAGTGCACGCCGTTTTGGCACGAAGCACATGTCCAAGTCAAAATGTACAAAACACACCATGTTCGGAGCACTTTTGGAAGTTGAGATGTCAAAAAAGTGCACGCGGTTGTGGCGCGAAGCACATTGCCAAGTCAAAATGCACAAAACACACCATGTTCGGAGCACTTTTGGAAGTTGAGATGTCGAAAAAGTGCACACCGTTGTGGCGCGAAGCACATTTCGAAGTCAAAAGTGTAAAACTGACGGGTTCGGACCACTCTTGGACGTTTAGATGTCGTTTTGCCTGTCACCTGGTCAAAAGTGAGCAAAACGTGAAGGTTTTGTAGCATTTCCAAAAACGATGGCAGGCGTGGGGCATGTGCAGAGGATCTGGCAAGATGTCTTTTGCATGGCAGGCGCAGTACAAGAGACATGTTCATCAGAGCTGTTCGGAGGTCAGGGCGCTGATTTCCTGAGAGGGGTTACATTTTGGAGCATCAGATCTTCAGGTTTGCTGAGATGATTTTGCGTGACAGGTGCAGCACTTCGTATGACTTGGCATCACTTTTTCGTGGCAGCCGCAGTACTTTAGACACATGGACTGGAAAAATTGCAAAAGGCATTGGCACGAGGCTGGTTTTTGATGTTGTCAACTTGAAAAATTGAGGCAGGAAGTCTCGCAGGATAGCTGCGTTTTTGACGTTGTCAAGTTCAAAAGTTGAGGAAGTCTCGCAGAATTACTGCGTTTTTGATGTTGTCAAGTTAAAAAATTGAGGAAGTCTCGCAGAATAGCTTCGTTTCAAACTTGCAGATAGATAGATACACATACAGATACAGATACGGATACAGATACAGATACAGACCAATACGGAGAGATACAGACAGATACAGACAGATACAGACAGATACAGACAGATACAGACAGATACAGACAGATACAGATAGATACAGATAGATACAGATAGATACAGATAGATACAGATAGATACAGATAGATACAGATAGATACAGATAGATAAATAGCTAGATAGATAGGAAGGTACATAGGTAGGTAGGTAGGTAGGTAGATAGATAGGTAGATAGATTGATAGATAGATATAGATAGATATAGATAGATATAGATAGATATAGATAGATACAGATAGATACAGATAGATACAGATAGATACAGATAGATACAGATAGATACACATAGATACAGATAGATACAGATAGATACAGATAGATACAGATAGATATAGATAGATATAGGAAGATATAGATAGATATAGATAGATATAGATAGATATAGATAGATATAGCTAGATATAGATAGATATAGCTAGATATAGCTAGATATAGATAGATATAGATAGATATAGATAGATATAGATAGATATAGATAGATATAGATAGATATAGGTAGATATAGATGGATATAGATGGATATAGATGGATATAGATGGATATAGATGGATTTAGATGGATTTAGATAGATACAGATAGATACAGATAGATACAGATAGATACAGATAGATACAGATAGATACAGATAGATACAGATAGATACAGATAGATACAGATAAGATACAGATAGATACAGATAGATACAGATAGATACAGATAGATACAGATAGATACAGATAGATACAGATAGATACAGATACAGATACAGATAGATACAGATAGATACAGATACAGATACAGATAGATACAGATAGATACAGATAGATACAGATAGATACAGACGGATATAGATGGATATAGTTGGATATAGATGGATTTAGATAGATACAGATAGATATAGCTAGATATAGGTAGATATAGGTAGATATAGATAGATATAGATAGATATAGGTCGATATAGATGGATATAGATGGATATAGATAGATACAGATAGATAGAGATAGATACAGATAGATACAGATAGATACAGATAGATACAGATAGATACAGATAGATACAGATAGATACAGATACAGATAGATACAGATAGATACAGATACAGATAGATACAGATACAAATAGATACAGATACAGATAGATACAGATAGATACAGATAGACACAGACAGACAGACCGATAGATCGATAGATAATAGATAGATAGATAGATAAGATAAGATTTGATTAGATTAGATTAGATAGGATTAGATAGATAGATAGATAGGTAGATAGATAGATACAGATAGATACAGATAGATACAGATAGATACAGATAGATACAGATAGATACAGATAGATACAGATAGATACAGATAGATACAGATAGATACAGATAGATACAGATAGATACAGATAGATACAGATAGATACAGATAGATACAGATAGATAGGTAGATAGATAGATAGAGACAGACAGACAGACAGAGAGATAGATAGATAGATATATAGATGGATGGATGGATAGATAGATATAGATATAGATATAGATATGGATATAGATATAGACTATATAGATATAGATATAGATATAGATATAGATATAGATACAAATAGATACATATAGATACATATAGATACATATATATACATATAGATACAAATAGATACAAATAGATACAATTAGATACAATTAGATTGAAATAGATTGAAATAGATAGAAATAGATAGAAATAGATAGAAATAGAAAGAAACAGATAGAAATAGATAGAAATAGATAGATAGAGATAGATAGAGATAGATAGAGATAGATGGAGATGGATAGATAGACAGATAGATAGACAGATAGATAAACAGACATACAGATAGACAGACAGATAGACAACTGCAACTGCACTACGCCACACTACAACTACAACTTCAACTACAACTACGATTTCAACTACACTTCAATTACAAGAACTACAGCTACAACCACAACTACAACTTCAACTACACTTCAACTACCACTACAACCTCAACTACAATTACTACAACTACAATTACAAGTGCCACTACAACTACAACTGCAACTACACCTACAACTGCAACAACTCAACTGCAACTGCAACTACAGCTGCAACAACTACTACAACTACACTACAACTGCAACTGCAACTACAACTGCAACAACTACTACAACTACACTACAACTGCAACTGCAACTACAGCTGCAACAACTACTACAACTACACTACAACTGCAACTGCAACTACAACTGCAACAACTACTACAACTACACTACAACTGCAACTGCAACTACAGCTGCAACAACTACTACAACTACACTACAACTGCAACTGCAACTACAACTGCAACAACTACTACAACTACACTACAACTGCAACTGCAACTACAACTGCAACAACTACTACAACTACACTACAACTGCAACTGCAACTACAGCTGCAAGTACAACTGCAACTACAACTTCAGCTGCACTACAACTACAACTACTCCATTACACCACACTACATCCAGGAGTTGTGTGAGGTGACCACTGCAACCGTTGCAACCACTCCAAAAAGCACAACTCCAACCACCTTTCGGTCCATTTGTGGATTCGCTCTGCCATCCACGCATCACAACAACTCACCTCTCCTTTAGTGTCCTATCCTTGAAGCTTCCGCCACCACCTTGTGCGGTACTACTGGTAATAAAGGACAAGAACAGGGAAGCAAGCAGAAACGCAAAAGAAAAAAAAGTAGAAAAGCCAAAAAAAAAAAACAGAGAAACAGAAAACCAAAAACAGCAAAAAAACAAACGCACAAAAAACGGAAAAGCAATAAAGTTGAGAAGCAGGAAAGGAAAAACCAGAGGAGCAGAAAAGCAACACAGCAGAAAAGCATACAAGCAAAAAAAAGCAAAAGTAATAATGTAGATTTAAACTTAAACCAAAAAAAAGAAATGGCTCCCGAAGCCTTAATCAAACATGCTAAACCGCAATTTCACTATCAGCGCGTCAAATTGCATGACTCGTTGTGGGAATACCACAGCCACGATGTGAAGGATCTCCTTGTTGGAGAGCGGTGAAGCTGTCGCTGAAGGGGAGATCTGCGGAACCTTCCGCGCAGAAGAAATGGTCCCTACTGGCAGTGTGACGCCGGAGATCGTCGCACCGATCAAGCCTGTCACCGATGGCTCGTTATCCTCGGCCCATCGAGCACATCGAGCACATCGAGCACTTGCCCGATGAACATCTGAAATCATTGGGGAGCTTGGTGACTTTTGCACATCAGGGGGTCAAAAGCTGAACCACACTTGAACCCATGCAAATTAGCTTCCAGGCCCAAAATCAACTCCAATGCATTGGACACACCAACGGCAGTGATCATTTGGGTGTCTTTGTGCCGTAGCTTTACCTCGGCAAAACACAAAATGCAAAGAATGTTGGCACAGAATAATGGCAAAAATCACTCGAAACCCAGAAGCTAGTCAAGAGTTGCTTCTGGAACCACAAGCAGGATCAAACAACCGCAATGATCGGCTTCGATCCAAGTGCACATCAACCAGAATATGCCAAGACACAGTGGGCATGTTTTGATGAAGTCCACCAGTTAGTGCAATGATCGGCTCACCAAGCCTGCACAGGGTACATTTCGGGACTCCTGATGGAATGGCCCGGGCCATATTCATGGGAAAACATGCTTCTAACCCCAAATCTGGGCCACAAGTGTCTCTATCCATGTCTCTAGCTCCTCAGCACCAGCCAAGGAACCATGGCCGATGGCAATGCAAAGCAGCCGTGGTTTCTTTTTGAGATTTCTTTCTGTTGAGTTTGCCAATCACAAGGTATCTTCAAATCATGGGCCCTGAATTATCTGAATTTGGGGGTGTGCAATACATCTATAACCATCTATTGAATCTATTGCTGGGGTCCTTTTCTGAATAGCTTTCCAGCGCCTGGCTCGCAGATCCGGCTCGAAGTGCTTCCGGAAGTCAAAATGGGCAGCGATGATTGCTACAAAGCCATCTGGATATATGGAAGCAGCCGTCAATGCACCCAAAGTAAATTCAGCGACACTGCGGACCAAGGCCACAGCCAACAAAGAAAAAATCCTCATCCCATGGCGCATCGAAGGTAAGTGTCCAATGAACGCCAATTTCACGAGGGTTCACGCAGAAATTCACTAGGCACGTTGCCTCTACCTACTTTATTTCATGGGTTCTTTTGCATGTTTTGTATGTTTTGTCTATATCACAACAATGATTTCGTCCATTCTTGGCAAGTCAATCATGCGGTCCTTCAAATACGAGCCAGAAAACTAAACAGTTTTGCGAAATCCATGGATTTTCTGGCCAGCTTGGCTAGCTCGGGGTCAAGGAGAAGAACGGTTCTGCTCTACGCAGCATGGAAGGTGTTTTGCACCTTTGGCTCTTGAGATTTTTTTCTGCCCCACAAGATCTCCTGCTTTTATCATTTTACAAGTCGGATCACTACCAAAACAGTGTGAAACAATATCCCAGATAGACCACAGATTGCAGCTCAGATTTCTTGTTCCAAGACCATGGTCAACTGTTTTAGCGAACATAAATTAAAAAAATGCGAAACAGTTACCGTAGGCGTTCGGATCCTGGCAAACTGCAAGCAGCTTTCTTTTTCCGCAACTTCATCGCATGTAGTATTTCGAATATATTTAGATGTGACATTAAGTTATCTGTGGGCACTGGGCCGCAGCCAAAGCCAAGCCTTCCTTTCAACGACCCCGTGACGGCCTCTTCGAAACTGCAACCTGAAGATCCTAATCCTAAGTGGACAAAAAAAGCACACAAACCCTATCAAATCATATGGATGTGGGTCAAAATGGAAGACCTAGGGGACCACAGATGTTAGTCTAGTTTAGTATTAACCATCCAATTATTGGGGTACCTAATTTTGACCCATACCCATATCAAATCCTGGTTTCAATCCCATTGATTCGACTTCTCGGCTCTGGCGCTTCGCACCGTAAGCAGGGTGTGAAAAAAAGTACAACCCACACTGGTTTTCTTTGCAGCTGTGGGCAGCTTTCCAGACTCAGCTGTGCGAATGTTGAACAGCATGACAGGATGGGGCAGCAGCGGCATGTCCTTCCAATTTATAATATATATATATAATACATATATATATATAATTATATATATATATATAATTATATATATAACTTTATATAACTGTCATTTTTGTTCTACCCACCTCTTAGAACTGTCATGCCTTGGCAAGCACAGATTCAATTGTTTGCTCTTTAATGGGCGCGCAACCTCAATACTTCGGATGGTCTAGGTATACTGTTTTGTTAATTTGGCAGAACTCCAGCACATCCAAGTCACAGTTACTCATAAGGTCTTCCAACTCTTAGAAGCTACAAGTATCGACCAACATCAGCATGCCCGAAACTTCTCGACTTCTAAAGACTCTAAAGTTTAAAGAAGTTATGGTCATCTGATAGGTCTGATAGTCTTTTCCAATTTCCTTCGCTCAGCTCTCTCAGCTGACTCTGCAAATGCAGCAGGCCCTGGATTCCAGCCAAAAAAACCTTATAATCCAAATATCTTGAATTCTATATGCATCTGCTGCATCTGCGAACTGCATTGATCTTGATCTCAATGATTTATTGTGACGTGGAAGGCCTGATTGATTCCACAATGCTGCCTGGAATCCACGACCTTGCCAAGGTTTGCCAAGGCCTAGAAACGATTCACAGCGCTGGGAATTTCTACCTCCTGCGCTTCACGGAGCCTTCGTTCATCCTCCATCAGCCGATTGCGGCGGTTGTAGAAGGCAAAGGCAAGAATCACCACCAACAGCAGGACTGGCGGTGGATTGAAATGGATTGAAGTTTTCAGATGTCATCAACCAACATGAACCAACGAAACGGATTCTGCGAGGTTGCAAACCAAAATCAAGCAGTTTCACTTTGCTCGCAGAGCCATGTTTTGTGCCCGCAGTGGCTCCCGAAGATTTCGATTCACAGAAAAATGAAATGCTACAGTGTAATTCACGGGGGGTGGCATTAGCTCAAACATTGGAGGTCCTGTTGAAGATGTCCACCTTTCCGCAGAGATCTTATTGTTTATGTATCCTCGCAAGACCCCCTCATTACCCCCTCCCATCCGGCCTATGAGGATCCACACCCACGTGTAACTTGACGATTCTTCTTTCTTTTTTGGCTCTGGTCCCTTGGTCGTCTCAGGCTCAACCGGTTTCTCCGTGGGTTCGTCTGGCTTCTCCGTTGGCTTGTCCGTTGGCTTGTCCGTTGGCTTGTCCGTGGGCGCATCTGTGGGCGCGTCGGTGGGCGCGTCGGTGGGTGCGTCGGTGGGCGCATCAGTGGGCGCGTCGGTGGGGCTAGAGTCACCAGGCATGGGCCATTTCTCAAGGGGAAAGCCGGGTACAGGCAACGGCTGCGGCGGCTGCACAACACCCTGTGGGTTGGCGCCAACACCACCGGAACCGAGACCCATACACTCACCGCTGTCGACAGAGTACAAGCCGGAACAAACGGTGTCTTTGTCCACAATCACTCTCGTATCCAGAACAGAGGTGATCTTTCCATCCACTTCCTTCGCGTAGGCATAGAAGGCCACAAAGAATTTCATTTGCGTTACTGTTGCGCCAGAGCAAGTATTCGGGAACTCGCCAAACGTGTTGGTGCACCCCAGGACAATTTTGCTGCAGCTCATGTCAAGGCCATTTGAGCATTTCCCTGTTTGCTTTTTTGGTGTCGCCACTGCTGCGTGCCATGAAGAGCTCATATCCCATGAAAGGGTGTACGATTGTGCGCATTCATGAAAGCACTCAATGACTGCCCTTGCCTCAGGGTGCGCGTTGGCATGAAACTGCCAGACCCTTGAAGGACTAGGATGGACTAGGTGTGCCTTCACTCAGAATACAGAGAGAAAGCAAAACAAATTATAGCAGTTCATACTACAGTTTCCGTTGCTTCAGTTTCCCTAATGCAGAATTATGTGCATGACATTCCAAACATGTATGTCAAGGCAGCTGCGCAGGTGCTTTCTGTTTTAAGCGTGGTGCAAAGATGGTCCAATCTGTACAAAATGTATTAGAACCAGCGGGTCCAATATTGGTACAGTTAGACCCTGAAACTGACCCCTATCCAAACTGACACCAGTCAACAACCCAAGAACCGGGGTATGTTGGGGTCAACCAGTAGAGGTGGGGAGTTCCAAAAGCACCACCTCCAAGACCACACAGTGGTGGTGCATGGGGATGGTGGTGGGCAAACAGAGCAGGGGAAACTTGAAGCAAAAATGGCCACGGACCAGATACTGAACTTTCCGGGTCCAAAGTATGAACACATATGTACAAGTACATGACACGTTCATACTACAGCTTCCGTTGCTTCAGTTTCCCTAATGCAGAATTATGCGCATGACATTCCAAACATGTATGTCAAGGCAGCTGCGCAGGTGCTTTCTGTTTTAAGCGTGGTGCAAAGATGGTCCAATCTGTACAAAATGTATTAGAACCAGCGGGTCCAATATTGGTACAGTTAGACCCTGAAACTGACCCCTATCCAAACTGACACCAGTCAACAACCCAAGAACCGGGGTATGTTGGGGTCAACCAGTAGAGGTGGGGAGTTCCAAAAGCACCAAACCATCGACCATCGACCAGCCGGAGTAAGAACTCCCCAAAACACAATCGATGGAAGCACCCAGTCAGCGGACTGCAGCCGGCCTTTTTCTCGCAGGTGAATGTCGAAATATGAAGGCCATTTTCGACCTGTTTGGGTGATCTCAATACCTGATGACTGCAGGAGCTGAATCCAAGGGATAGATTGCTGCGACCTTGGATCAATGGCAACAGAGAGCGGTTCTTTGAAGCGACTCAATTCATCTGCCAACACATTCAGCCTGCCAGGGATATGCGTCAGTTGAGGATATACTTGACTGCGTCGCATAAATCGGAAGTATGGAGTCAGCACCGCTGCCAAGGCTGGGGTCATGGTAAGGCCTTTGGCAGTGGCAGCGTCTGCTGCGCTATTGTCTGTGGCTTGGTGACATGCGATTGGCCCACGGGTGCAAGGTAAGTGGGTAGCAATGCAGAAGGATAGTGCATATTGGGCTAGAAGTTCCCAAGCTGCAATGTGCTTTTGCATATCGTCACCGATCCACGGCCATAGCGATTGAGCTTCCTCAAGTGAGATGCGAAACCGGAACCAGATCGAAGATCCATCCGGAAAGATAGCCGCCCCACCTAGCCCAGCCAAGGATTGTGATGCCATAGCATCAGCAGTGGCGTTGACTTGGATCCAGACTGGAGGACACATAGTCAATGAAAAAGGCGTTGAAGTCAGCAACTGTAGCCATATTTTGAGGGTTTCGGCAGCTTCATCATCCAGTTTTCGGTTTGGTGTAGAAGGGTCAGAAAGACCTACCCAAACGCGGCGGGATTTGATGTGCAACAGTTGCACTTGCTTCAACGTAAGGACATTGGTGTTAGCCACACGACACAATGTAACGCCCTTTCTCAATGACTGATGCTTGTGGGTCAACGAGGTGCTCAGCTGTAGCTGCTCATCCAAGTGAGCCGTCAGTGTTTGAAACGTCACATGGTCCATTCCCACCATAGTAATGGGAATGCGATGCAAAGCCTTGTACAGTGGGATAAGAAGTGGGCGAAGATATCGCCACGCTGAAGTCAGCCACAAAAGGCGTCCCACCAGTGACTGCATCTCCCGTAGTGTCAGACGTTCGGAGCGTTGTATGGACCTGATCTGGGCTGTGATACGCTCCATCTTCTCTATTGGGACGTCAATCGTCCAATAAGCGACAGAAATTCTCCAACCAATCCAGTCCACAGTGTCTGACAGCGCGGCTTTATGCCACGACATGGGTACTCCCAAAATCAGCAGGAGCACCACAAGCAAAGAGGCCCACAAGGGGGATGACACTTTGTCCAACCAGGCAAGAAGATCGTCAACGTACTGCCAAAGAGCATGACCATGCGCCAGGAGTGAATGGCAAGACCTCACCATGATGCCTGCTAATCGCCCCCAATACCAGCCGCTAGCACGAGCACCGAAATTGAGAGTAATGCATCGATAAAGTTCCCCATTGGCATGAAAACACAAAAGGCCGCCATCATCAGGATGAACCAAAATTCTGCGATGAGCTTTTGCCACATCCAGTGTGAGTTGTGTCATCTGCTGACTTGCCATGCTGTCAGGGGCACATTGCATAACATCTGATATACGTGGCAAAAGCATTTGGTTTGGGAGAACTGTATTGGCTGTGACCATGCTGATGGAGCTGTCAACCACCAAGCGAGGTGAGCGGCCAGGTGCGAGGACCACACCCAGCTTGCCAATGGCCGTTTTGGAATACATCTGTTTGAGTTGTAGGATGCCCCCTGGGACGTGTGCGATGAACCCTGCATCGAGCTCCTCTTGAATCAGGGATCGAACAATGTCTGGATGATCCTGGGCACTTTTCCAACTGTCGGTACAATCCTGAAGTGGTACCTCCTCAGGTAACATGTCAGAATGTTGCGGCCACGCTGGAGAGGGCGTGAGTGGCTCATTGACACCCAGGCGTACTCCTGTAGGAAGCTGAAGAAGGAAATCTGCGTCAGGATCATGCAAGAATGTTGCCAAACGATGCCACAACTGTAAGCGAAAGGGTTGACCAGGTGAGATGTCCAGGAGAAAGTCACCTGGTGGGCAATCCAAAATCTCCAGCATGTCATCCAAGTATGGTTTGAGCTCCTCCTCCGAGAGCGGTGGCTCTTTGCATCCTGACAGTAATGCCGCAGTAATTTTGAGGCACTGTTTGCTGTCGCTAAGGCGCTTGAACCATCTTGAGCGCAAGGCCACCATCTTGTCATGTCGCTGCGGTTGCATGTGGAGTGCTGTGCTTGGCAAACCACCACCGTCCTCAATTCGACCTGGTGGGTCTGGCCAAGACAATTGCTTCGGCAAAATGGATTGCCAATCAGCCACCTGTAGCACTTGGTGACCGGACGTCAGATACGGTCGGATGATCGACGCCAATGCTTGTGCCAGTAGAGCAGGGTATTCTGCAGTGATCCTGCTTTTGAACGTACCATCAGGAAGACGGACTCCAACGATGGGTTCATGTGTCCCTGCTGGGTGAGGACAAGATCTGGCGATGTGACAAATGGCCGGTCTGTTTGACACAAACATCCATGCTTTGGCCCAGTCCTTGTCAAATTGACAGGCACAGGCTTGAGCAGCATAGGGTGCAACTGCATGGACCCACTCATACATGAGGGGGTCGTCCCAAGTCATCGATGTAGAAGGGTTCTCCAAAATGATCAATCCCGCATGTCGATCAACTGCAGATAGTAGGATCCTCGATCTGTCATGGATAGTCGAGCTTTCTTGTACTGCGATCTGCTGCTGGGTAGTGTTGGAGGGCAAGCCATCAAGGAACTCAGGAGTACGAACTGGGGCAGGCCCATTCGGTCTCAAGGTAGCTCTGCTATGTTTGCAGCAGTATGGAGCTGCAAGTGCTGCCCCAATGCGTCCAGACGAAGCCAATCGAAGTAAACTTTCGAACATGTCATCGTCCAAAAGGTCCAATCCATGAATAAGGTCGACCGGTTCCACCCGATCACCGTCAAGTGCTTGGACTGCAATGCTCACTGGCATTGAGGCACCCGCAAAAATGTCAAGAAAAAATCTGGCTGTACTCTGCGATGAAAATTGTCTGCTTTGAGAACATAAGCTTGGCAAAGATGAGGAGACTGAATCCAAAGACCTAGGGAAAACTTCTGTAGGAAGCTCCTCTGAATTGCATGCATCGTGCACTGTATCATGCACGCATGGTCAGTGTGGCGACTCTTTGTGCCTGGAGGCCGGATGAAAACCACCGCAAGCTTCCCCATTCGCTTTGGCCACTGGGCATTGGTGTGCATACCGACACTGTTGGCCTGACTTGCACTTGCCAAGGTGATATCTGATGCAGATGCCCTTGCCGTCACTGGTCTTCTTCAGCCAAGCATCATTCCATTTTGGGTTTTTTCCTGCTGGAGTAGATGGCTTCTCCGCAGCTGAGGCCTTTGGCTCCGGCTTCGGCTTCTTGGGGATCGGCTTGGGCAGCTCCGGCTTGCGTTTCGGTTGGTCGGCCCTGGGGTTCTGCAGCGGTTTGGGCCTTGGGGCCAGTGACGTGTGGAATACCTGACGGCAAAATGCCACTTCATTCAGGACATCATTCAGGGACCATTTGGAGTCAGAGAGCAATTCAACCACGGCTGTCCATGCAACTCGGTCTGCATCCAAGATCTCAGTCAACGAAGGGGAGCGTAAGTGCTGGTCCCTAGGTTTGAGTAGTGCGATCTCAAGGAACTTGGCATGAAAACGTTTGAGGACCAGGGGATGAGCCTGCCAAAGCATTGCCAGTGCCGTAGAAATCAGACCTTGAAACCTAGTCACCACGACTTCTGGGGAGAGCTGGTGGTTGATGACTGCCTCTGGTTGATCATGAAGTGCCGTTTCCCCTTCCGCCAGTAAGGAGCGGAGGAGCTGGCGTTCATTGCGTGGTCGTCTGTGTTCCAGAAAAGCCTGCTCATCAGATTCTGATGTGCGGTTCTTCCAAGGGACCCAGGCCAAGCAGTTCCCATCGATGCACAGCTACCTGCACCTAATAGCCAGCAGGCCGCATATTCAGTACTCCTCCGGTGGGGAGATCCAACTCTGCGGAGTATCGGGGTGCATCTCGTCCACAAGATCAGGATGTACTGAGACCAAGGTCTTTGTGAGCACCGCGGCATTGTGGGTGATCATCTCCAATGACCTTTCCAATGCCTTGATGCGCAGCCTGGTGTCGTCCAGTTCGTGCATCTGGGTCCACAGGCGATAGGTCACGTCCACCAGAGAGATTGGTTTGATGACCAAACCGATGCCCACGACACGACCTGGGCCCGAAAACGAGACGATCCGACTTGGAAACGCCTTGTTGCAGTGTTCCCAGACATGAGGTAGATGCGATAGTCATACTCCTCATCAAACAGTGACTCCCACCCTGAACGATACTGCCAGAATTGCTCAATGGTGGGCTCCCGCGGGAGGTCCTTGGGCAGTTTCAGTGGCAGAAGCACCTGATTTGGGTTGATTGCCAGATTCTCCATGCCGAAGGCCTTGAAAAGGCGTTCCACTGGGATAACCTCCTCAGACCCAAAGGTCACCGTGAGGCTAAATTGTGCCGGAGGGAGTGCGACTCCCACAAGAGCCATTGCAACGACGCAAAAAAGGTGTCCGCGGACAAATGAAAATAAATAAATGGATTGAGCCAGCAGCGGCTGGGCTACCACCAATGTCCATGTGGCATCAAGCTGTGGCTGATGCAAGGACCCACACGGTGAAAAAATGCAAAAGGAACGTATTGTGGCTCAAAACACAACCCAAGCCTCACAGGTGCACCCATTTTCCTGATGCGCAAAGGTAAGGGGCTGCTACAGATGCTACTTTGAGCAAAGCCCTCCACTGAGTATTGCATCAGTCAAGCCAGATCAGCCTCATCAGTGTGTGATGGACCATCTGGAGGAGGACCACTTGACCGTCGCGGAGTATCAACTACCACAGGCTGACGTAGGTCCTCTAAAGAACGTGCAATGTAAGCCCTGGTAGTGAGCCATGCCGCCGCAGCATACTCCGAAGAGGGTGGACCTGTACCCCGACTTCTCATGAGCCTTTGGTGAACGTGCAGCGCAAAGTCAGCAAGGAACTGATGCTCATTCACTGTGAGCATAGTATCCTCGATGGTAGCCGCATGTTGGCCAACTAAGTTGGGAGGTTGGCGCCCTTCTCGGTTCCGACTCCGCCGATCAGACATGGAAGAGCCAGCTGCCCCCAAGCGTGGGGTGTCCTCAACCAGAGGCCGTGGAGTCATACAAGAAGAGATAGGTGCACTTGTGCACGCTGTAATCTGGATCCCATGTACCGCTGATGTGAGACAGCCCTCATGCTCGATGCCCTGAACCAGATCATGCAGGGATGATGATGGAGAGGCTTCGATTGTACCATGGGAAATCACTGAAGGTGGTACTTCAGAATCACCTAAAAATCGTATGGACACCCTCCAAATGTCTGGGGTATCCGAATGAGCCCGCAGCGGAGGCAACGGTGTGGCTGAGGCCATGGTAAAAATACCAGAGATAGACTGAACACCAGCGGGTGCTAAGCCAAAACACAGCGGTGCAAATAAAAACAGCATCAGCACAACCGAACTAAATGCAATGTCAACTCAAATTCAGTCGAGATAGACATGAGGAAGAGAAGCCGCATCACTACCTTTTTCACGCGGGAGACAGCAGTGATGAAACCCTGATTGTACAACAAACAAGATGATTGTGCAAAATAGACCTGCGGGTCAACAACCATCTCGACTGCATAGTAGCACGCCCGGTATGTGATGAGGATCATCATGTACGCAGCTGCAGAACCTAAATACCCAAATGTTGTCGAAGCAGTTGAATGGAGGTTTCAGCAATCTGCAGGCGATGTTCTAAAACACGAACTTGCTGTGCCAGTTGAGATACCAGCTCCATGAGTAAGATCAATGGAATCTGACGAATAACCACCAAGGTCTGCGAACGATCAGCAACAGGAGTGTCAGAAGAGACCATCTGGATGTGACCTTGAAGCATATCAGATAGCGAGGCCAGCTCTTCATAGAGTGGAAGCAGGGCGACATAGATGTGGACCTCATAAGTAGATGACAATGGCTCATCCCAGGGGACCCAACCTTGGGCTAACTCTGACAACGGAGGGTCATGAAGGCGACCCGCAGGCCAAGAGGATGGAAATAAAAGTTGATTCACATCACAATCTCTGCCCCCAAGGCCGAAGTGATTGAGAAGCCTGTTGAGATTATGTCCATCATCATCTGTTCTGAACTCGAATGTAAAACGGATCTCCTCACGAGGGATGTCTACATCCATAACTGAAGCCAAGAAAGGTCACAAATGAGATGACCAATCCGGCAAAAACTCCAACCAGGAAGGAAGACAAATGCCAGTATGACACAGAAGCTTGAGGATGTAGAATGACCGGGCAATAGGAGGCCACAGGACCACGATGCAGCACACGGCGAGGTCGAATGGCCATGAAGAAACAAACAGAGCAGGGGAAACTTGAAGCAAAAATGGCCACGGACCAGATACTGGACTTTCCGGGTCCAAAGTATGAACACATATGTACAAGTACATGACACACAAGAAGATTCTGAAAGGGGAGAGCAAAGGGAGGGCTGTCAGCCCAGAAGATAGGATATGCTGCAGCAAAAATGTGGAGAGGAATCAAGCCTTGAAAAACTGAAATGGTATGGTTGAATCAAATCCACCATCGCCTGTGCGTCTGGGATCTTTGGCAGACTGTCTTCGGTGCAACCGATCGGTCCAGTCACAGTATTGGGCATGATGCTCGCTTGACATTGGCCACTTCCAGCGCCCACCAGAGGGAACCTGGGCCATTGACCCAAGTGAGATGATACCCTTATCGGATTGACCAATGACCCAAAGTTACCCAAGGGATTGAATTTGGCTTGGACACCGCATAGGAGACTCTGCAATCCGTGGTGGTTCAGGAGGAATGCCAGCTTGCTGACAGGTGTCCTTCCCTTGTGGTAGTCCCATACAAGTGCCGCTCCTCAAGCTGGACTCCATGGATCATGAGCCAAAGACTGACTGAAAAAACAACAAAAAAGACCCGAAGACCATGATGTCTGTGGCCAAGTGACTGGGTGTCATATTTGTATATGCCTTGGCAAATGGTGTCGGCATTAAATATGGCCTGGGTGTCTAGGATGCTCTCGTACGATGATATCCCATGCGTGCAGTAGGTGTAGAAAGCCACATAGACCTTCACACCTGCAGGTGAGCATCAGATCCGGGTCATGCCAGAGTCTAAGAGAGGAATTTCTTCAGAACAGACAAGCAAGCGTTTACAAGAGTTAAGGCAGTTAAGGGTCCCTTGCCGACACGCAACCCGTGCAGGATTCGCAAATGTGTTGCTTTCCACCTGGTAGCGATTTAGCCTTGCCTGAGACCAATGGCAAAACACCAGTGCAAGCGTTGGGGAATTCCGTGAAGGGTTTGGCGCAAGTCAATGGCACCGGACTGCACAGCACTTTGAGGTTTATGTCCTTTGCGTCGTTTTGCGTTGCTGCTTGGCCATTAAAAAACACAACAACACGGGAAAAATTGGAATAACTCGTATAATGCCACACACTACAGTCTTGCAGGAGTTCCCAAGTCAAATAGACCATCGAATTGCCTTTGAGGATACGGACAACAATCCCTCCCGTTCCGTCCTCTTTCGAACAAGTTTTCGTCTTTGGGGTGGCTAAAGCTTGGAGATTGCTTCCACCGGCGGCGGTGGCGTCGCTCACGTGGATGTTGTAACCACTGGCACACTCCAAGAAGCACTCCGACAAGGCTTTGACCTAGCGAGGCTGAGAAATTTTGGACATTTCCCAAGAACTGCCGTCCGTTTGGGGCTAGTGTCTAATTCGTGGTTACTCCAATGAAAAAATGCAGAAACGCAGAAACATGATTGCGATGGGATGTGACTAAACGTGTACTCGATCTATGGTCATGAGTCATTATTGTTCAGTAGTCACCTTTTCGTTCCCAGCCCATCTGCATGACCACAAACCCCACAACTAATTATGGATTACGTTTGCGTTACTCGTGCAAATTGGGCTCTCCGCCAGATCATCACAGGGATCGTGTTCATTTTCAACAATTGGGTCCTTCCCCTGTTGGCAAGCGGCCTTGGCATCCTGGAGTTGCGCTATACCATTAGGAGTGCATTGTGGCGGCCCTGTCAAAGAGTCAACCTGCAACAATAAAATGCCTGATGCATCCATCTATTGGTTCCTCGTGTTTGAAGTTTTGTTTTGATGTTCCATTCACTGTGCGAACATGTCCCCAGAATATGGATTTGAATAATGATTTCCACTACAACCAAACGCAAACAGGCCGCGTTTGATGCCGTTGGATTCGGGCAGCAACCGGCAAAACAATGTTGCATTTTTTCGATGTCCGTCTTGTAAATGTGCATAAAAGCAACGCAATTCATAACTGCAGGTTTTGTTCCCACCTTTAATGTTGCATCGCATTGCCCATTTGCGGATCGCAAGAAGCAGAGCAAACTTCCGAGAATGAGCATAACATTCATGATGCCTTAAATTTCCACCCAGATTGCCCATCTTGGCATGAAAATCGAGAAATTAGGAAAAACATACATACACGGAAGAGCATCTTGCCAAGATTCCGCAAGTTGTTCGCGAAATCTAAAGCGAGCGGGTCGGCGTTTTAAGTTTCTTTGAACTTGTACCAAATAAAGCCAAATGGCAGAGGCCACAGCAAAATGTCATTCCCAGAAAACATGTCAAATGCGATTCTACGTCTGGTTTGATTGCCATGACGCGGCGCAACCATAATCCAAAACAACATAAAACTAAACCAACCATAGCGCAACGAGTTTCCAGTTCCAGTTCCCCAGTTTTTTCCGAGAGCGTCTGAGCGAAGGGTTCTTCTAATAGTGGGGGTCTGTCAAACATTTTCACATTTTCACATATTCTTATCATCACGTCCTCACATCTTCTCATCTTCTCATCTTCATCTTCACATCCTCACATCTTCACATCTTCTCATCTTTACATCCTCACATCTTCACATCTTCTCATCGTCACATCTTCTCATTTTCACATCATCGCATCTTCACATCACATCTTCACATCTTCTCATCTTCACATCTTCACATTTTCACATCCTCACATCTTCACATTCTCTCTTGCCCTCTTGCTCTCTTGCCCTCTTGCTCTCTTGCCCTCTTGCTCTCTCGCCCTCTTGCTCTCTCCTTCTTTTCCATTTCTCTCTTGAAGGCGCGGGGCAGTGCCAACCAAAAACTGAAGTAAAACTGCGATTTCCCGCGTCCGGGCGCAACCCTTTCGCACGAAACGAGGTTCGATCGCCAAAACCTGGTAAACTGCGAAATTTCTCGCGTCCGGGCGCAATGCTTTCGAACGAAATGAGGTTCGATCGCCAAAAACCGCGGTAAAATTGTGATTTGCAAAGGGTCCGATGAACCCTTTCGCGCGAAATGAGGTTCGATCGCCACAAACTGAAGTAAAATTGCGATGTCATGGGTCCGGTCTCTGTGTGTGAAAGTGTTTGTGTGTAAAAGTTTCTGTCTGCGTGTCTGTTTGTGCGTCCCGTGTCTGTCTCTTTGTGTGCATGTATGTTTGTGCCTGTGTGTGTGTGTGCGTGTATGTGCCTTCCTCTTTGTGTGCGTGTGTGTGTGTGTGTCTGTGCCTGTGTGTGTGTGCGTGTATCTGTCTTCCTCTTTGTGTTCTGTTTGTGTGCGCATGTGGTATCTTTGTTTGTGTGTCTGTGTGTGTATGTGTTTCTTTGCTGTCTGTCTCTGTCGGTTTTTCAAATTTTGTATTTATCTTTGTCTACTTCTGCTTAGAATCTGACATAGCACTTCTATCTCTTTTCTGCTGATCATTTGCATCATTTTCAATGAAGTTTTCACTTACAATGTCTTTGATACTCCTCACAAGAGAGTAACATGCTCTTCTACGCTCTTCGCTCTTCTGAGTGTAAAAGTGTCTGTGTAAAAGTTTCTGTGTGTAAAAGTTTCTCTGTGTAAAAGCGTCTGTGTGTAAAAGTGTCTGTGTGTAAAAGCGTATGTGTGTCAAGGTGTTTCCGTGTAAACGTGTCTGCGTGTAAAAACGTCTGTGTGTAAAGACGTTTGTGTCTAAAAGCGTCTGTGTGTAAAAGTTTCTTTGTTTAAAAACGTCTGTGTGTAAAAGCGTCTGTGTGTGTAAAAGTTTCTGTGTGTACCAAGTTTCTTGGTGTAAAAGCTTCTGTGTGTAAAAGCGTCTCTGTGTAAAAGGGTCTGTGTGTAAAAGCATCTTGCGTAAAAGCGTTTGTGTGTAAAAACTTCTGTGTGTGAAGTCTCTGTGTGTGAAAGTGTTTGTGTGTAAAAGCGTCTGTGTGTAAAAGTGTCTGTGTGTAAAACCGTCTGTGTGTAAAAGTCTCTGTGTGTAAAAGTGTCTGTGTGTAAAAGCGTTTGTGTGTAAAAGTATCTGTGTGTAAAAGCTTCTGTGTACGATGCAAACTATTGTTTTGTGTTTGTGATATATTGTCTTGATACTACTCTTCTCGTCTGCTTATAATACATCTTTGATATATTGTCTTGTAGTATAGTGTCTCCATACTAACAACAGAAGACCCTTCTCCTCTACGCTCTCGGGCCATCCGTCGTCTAGTTGGGTTTCTAAATGTCGGAATATGTCCAAGCCTTGTTGAATCCAAGATTAGGGAACTGTAGATGATTTGTGTGCTAGTTGGACGATTTGGAATGCTTAATCTGGGTTGCATGGAGGTTTTCAAAACAGACAGTTTACTCATTGCACAAGAATTCCAAGAAAGAAAAAGAAAAGACAAGATTGCTCGCAACAATCTTTGGCCGCCTGGGCAAGCGACATTAGAAGACAGGCAGATCAATACTAGTTCAAAGTGGACATTCGTTACATATGGTTATATCTGACACAAAGGAATACAACAAACCAGAAACAAAACCGAAGCAACAGCTATATTTGCATCGATATATACTTTCATATGCACCGATGAGAGCGTTTCTGCGAAGAAAACGGCACTGCTCTAACGCTTTCTTTTGAACCAGGGCCTGCATCGAATCCACACATGTTTGTGTGTCATGCCTCACATGTGATTTCACATGGAGATTCAAAGCATTTCCATGTTCTCGTTTTGTGCGTGTCATCCACAGTGCAGAGGCCATGCAACACTCATGACAGCTATGAGTACTGATGCAAAAGATTCGAACTCCTCCTTGGTCGAACGAGCTCAAGCTGTTTCGGCCACATGCATGCAGTCAGAAGCTTTTCACTGCCCGTGCACTTTGCACGCACAACATTGTAGTACCTCTGTGAAAAAAATCGGTGACTCATCTCTCTGAATTGGCCGCTGTATGCTAAGTGGCGTTCAGCCAAATTGGGCAGCTGCACACGCCCTTGATCCGCCAATGATTCCAGAGAATCACCAAGTCCATTGAATAAATTCACTCTCACTTCTTGGCCATTGGAACTGTTCCATTGAGGGCATCCAGGACGGCCATGATGCAACGTTGAAACTGAGCAGCCATTGCGTAGCCAGACAATCATTCAATTCATTTCGAAGAGTCCAGTGTTTGGGTGAGATTGCCACGGGGCTCCACAACCTCATCCCTTCATGTCAGTGTCGTCACCTTGAGAAACTCCTTGATTCTGTTGTCTGACTGTATCTAAATAACGATCCGCTTCCATAGTCCTACGTGCCACAAGGTTGGCACGCACCAATTCAAACATATGGCGTCGCTCGTTGGCCCCAGGTGCACGAAATGGCGTGTATCCGCCAACTTCCACTAAACCAAAATGTATCTGTTCTGCTGACTCAGATACCATTTCCAATTCTCTTTCCATTTCATTGTGTGCTTCTCGAAGTCGGCGCATTGCATCATTGAGACCTGTAATCTGTTCCTGAAGCACGCTGATTTCCTGAACATGTTGATCCAACAGGTTGTCAGTGAAATGTTGCTCTCTGAGACCTTCGTGCTGATCCGGCAATCTGTTGTATGCAGAATCCAAGATCGCCATTTGAGTGTACATTCGTACGACTCGAAGGCGTCACGTGCTCATTTTGTAGGTCTTATACAAGACAACCAGCAACCCAATCAAAACTCCGAAGAAGAATGTCATTGCCACATAGGAGAAGTTACCTCCTTCTAAAACCTGAACATTGGGCTCGACCATGCATGTTCCAAAACCTGAACTTTCATCACAATCCATTTTTTGTGGTCGGCGCCCGTTGCCTTTCGGCGGGTCGCACTTGAGACTCCCGAGTGGACCAGCAGGGATTCGAACCACCACCGGCAGTCTGTCAGCGCTGGCAAGACCAACGCCATACCAACTGAGCCATCGGGTCGCCTGAACTTTCATCACAATCCAGACTTAAAACTGCAGCCACACCTGGAACGGTACTTGACTCAAGGCCCATCATCACCAAGATTCTTGTGACATCTTCCAATACTGTCAAGGTCCCTTTATCGCAGCCATGTTTTGACCACTTTTTTGGGCCCTGTTTTAGGGGCCATGATGAAGCAGGTTTGTTGGCATTCTCCATGTCACTGTTTTCTGATGTTGGCCCTCTTGAGGCCATCGCGGAGAACAAGACAGAACAGAAGTCGGCAGCAAAGCGCCGCCAGCGGTTGCTAAAAGCACCCCTAAAGCTGCCAAGCTACGATGCGCGTTTTCCCACAGCGCGGAGCGTATAGTTGATGAACTTGGCCTACTATACCCTGAAAACCGTGGAAATTTGCGGAAAAACATGGCCAGCGTATAGCGTATAGTTGGTTCAATTCGATTAAAAAACCCTACTAAAAAAATCTTTCTTAGAATGTGTGAAAAACGCAAACCTAAGCACACCTCTCGTGTACCCAAATCAACGCTTTCATAAAATCACTACGCCAGACGCAAACACCTACTGTGGTTGCGGCTCCGCAGTTACTTACTTCTCTGCAATGTCAGATAAAGGAACTTGTTCCACCCTGACTCCTAAGTGCACGTCAGACTCCTTCTTTTCTCTCCAGACGCCACACACAACGGAACAGGTCAACAAGAACCAGGGCAGGCACACGGCCACAGCCCACAAACAAAGAAAGGAAGCAAGATGTTCCAGTGTGGCTACTGTTTCAAGTGCCCTAGGTGACACTGCAGTTCAGTTCTCTTCGGAACACTTGACACCACTCCCTTGAGCCGATGTCTCAACTGGGAAACTCGATTCCAGGTTTCCAATACACAACCTTCCCTCAAAGGTTGTTGAAACAATTCCGAACTGCTATGATATACAAATCACCTAGTCACAAAACGTCAGAAACATTTCCAAAAATTCTCAAGTCAAACTGGTTCTCGTCCAAACGCAAGTAACCAGCTAGCCGGTGTTACTAGTCTCTACCAAACGTCTAGACTAGTCACACGGCTAGTTAAGAACGAAATGTTCCACTCAAATTCCTATACAAAATCCTCTTACAATACAGAACAACATGGGAACCTCATGTTCCATCTCCAAAAACAGTTCTTCACTTAGAGATGTCTTCTCCTAGCTTCAAACTACAGAGGAGAGTAGAATGTTCTGCTCGACTTCTCCAAAACAGCTCTTCACACAGAGATGTCTTCTCATAGTTCCAAACCGTCGAGGATAGTAGAATGTTCTGCTCGACTTCTCAGCCAATATCC